TTTTGGACGAATTTGGATGCAATTTGAATTTGCGGGAGAAGAATTTTACGCTCAATATCTCAATCAAAAAAGGTATCATCTCAATTAGGTTCCCTCTTTCACTTGATGAGTTTTTCGTTTACTTCTTCTTTATTTCAACCCCCGTTCACTCGGGGTGAGGGATGCTGTGATTTTGACGGGTTCTACCAAGCCTGCCCACGAGGGTGTTCAAAAACTACAATGAATAAATGATTGATAGGAACCTGTTTCTTCAAAATGGGAGCATTATCGTTTTTTCTAGAACATGGTAATGAACATGGATGGGTACATAAAGGTTGAAATTGTTTTATTATAGAGGAAACTTTTTCATATCGTTAGAAAGGTTACAGAATCAACCTTTTATGAACATGGTGATCCGACCATTAATATTGAACCGGTTGTGTGTTTTTGGAAGGGTTTATGATGTCGATTGATTGCCGCTATTCAATATCATAGCTTATACTTAAACATGCGTCCAAAGTGGCCCATCTGTGAAAATTTCCAACTGTGTTTTGATGGCCATATGTGTCAACATTTTCTAAAATCAACTGTGATCGTCCTAACACCATAAAAGTACATCTATTAGAAATCAAACGACAGTATTAAATAATTTATTAATTCGTATGAAATCACGTTGCAATGTGACTACTACTACTACTACAAAGAAGCCCGCCATGACGATGTTTTTTTTGGTGTAACTTAAAACTCGCATTACTTCCATTTTGTTTTCTTACAAAGCTGAACACAAACGTATTTCGAATTTTTAATTTTTATCATGTTCTTGAATGCTTGGCACAGAAACAAAATAACCATCTTAAAATCGGGTTAATCAAAAATGGTCGAATTCGATTCGTATTAGTAAACACGTATTCGTAACTGATGTTCGTTGACCGAATTTTGTTCCACGTGCAAAGCGAACTTTAAAACTTTCAAAGCGTTTTTCTCGAAACACAGAGTTGATTTACGGGCCCCACGATATCTAAGGACTGCCTGGATGGATTAAATTGGCTGATATTTGGGGTGTAGATTCACCAGATGTATCCCGCGTGCATGACGAAGCTGGATTTTGAAATTTATTTATTTTAATATAAAAATAAAAAAAAAAAACCTATGATTTTTAATATGAAAAAACATAAACATATTTTTATCTTTTTTATCAATTTTTCAAAAATCGGCCTTCGTCATGCACACGGGACCTGTTGAACGAGTCTTCACCCCAATTTGGTCAAAGCAGTGATGAGATATCGTGGGACCCGTTTTTTAAACCAATTTTGTTACCAAATGTCTCCATATTTATTGTGTTTTCAGTTGCAAATGTATATTTTGATGACCTGAAAAAAAGTTTACACAAAGTTTTAAATGTAGGATTTTTTACCAAATGACTCTGCGCGTATACTCGGAACTCGGACAGCAGTAAAACGAAACAAGCAAGAAACTGAGAGATTGCGAAAAACTTTCTCTGTCGGGTGCAATTGCTGAAAATCTTGCATCAGTGATTTATGACAGTGATGGTTCAGTTGATTTAGTTTTTCTGCAGTTTTGTTGTTAAGTAGTATAACCTGTTCAAAGCTTGACAAATTTCTTGATTGATTCTTCGATCAGTCACTTGTTGGAAGCGGATATAGTGAAATACGACTCAGTATTGGAAAAATGATCGCTAAAGAATCATCCACACACTCCGAATAATACACGACACTCTTAGTTACAAATTTCTTGGGGTTCATACAATGTAAGAGAAACCAGTCACGTCACACTTAATGTGCCATTTTTTCGTGATTTTTTTTTATTACTTGAAATGATTAATGTACATTTACTCATCAGAAGTGGGTATCAAAACAAGACCATAGCCGATTTAATTCCGAGTAAAGAAAAAAAAACTTCTGCGATGAACAACTTTGCTGAGAAGGGTACGTTTCTATCGTTGTTCATATCGGTCGAAATGTTTTGTTTAATTAGACACCCTAATGCACTTTGAATAAGTTGGAAATTAGTTTGATCATAATGTTGATAACGAGCAGCACCATCTAGTATTTAAATATGAACAATGCTCGAGATATTTAGTTCTAATTTGAATTATTAACTTGATAACTTGGTGGAATATGTTATTAAATGTTTGTATAGGGGGAATGGATGTAATGTCGGCCTGAATGCCCCTAATTTGGGACCATACATAAATTCAGTAATCGATTAAATTTTCAATAGTGACCAAAAATATACATAAGTACCGTCCCAATGACGCGTTCATTTAGATAAAATTGATAAATAGCAGATTTTTGGTGATGGGCCCAATCTTAGATCCATAGGCCAGAATTAGAGCCATTTCCCCTATTTATGTATTTTTTATTTGCGCAAAAATCATGATTGACCTACAAAAAAATTTAAATAACAAAATAACTTAAATAGCGAGTGAAGATAGAAACGTTCTCTTTTCAGCAAAGTTATGCATCATAAAGCCTCCTATCTTTTTGTGGAATTGAATCGCTTATAGGTCATGATTTGATTCCCACTTTTAATGAATAATTCCTAACAAAATATAAATTCCAGGAATAAAAAAAAGTCTCGAAAAAATCGTACAGCAAAAGATAATACGGGGTTAGGTTTCACTAAACTTTAAAAGGAAGTTTTTTCTTCTCGGAAATGGATATGATTATTTTTTTTTTTAAATCTAAATAACATTTTTCAGAGTTTTGGTCACACAAAAGTTTTGTTGTAATACCCTTAGATACCAAATTGATGGTGAGCCTTCAGGTTTCATGGCAAAGTGTTATTTTGCACCATCATAATTTTCAAATATTTTAAATCACACAGATTATGAAACTATAGAGGTATGATCAAAGTAGGCACAAACCGGTCCCACCAAGGTGGTCATTCTTTAAAACAGGCCTGATAGAACTAGGAACTATAAATAATATTTAAAAAAATTCAAATAAACTAGGGTTACGGTATGTAATGTGGGTCTAGTCCTTTCATTCGGCCTATCACGCAAATAAATAATTAATTAAGGAATATTACACAAAAAATAAGGAAAATATTGATCACTGATGATTGATAAATGTGTACCACACACAAATCAATTTATATCACAACATTTCAATACATTTTCAGCTCTCGTAAGTAATAAAACTGGTTGAGAATATCACAATGTTCGGAGTTTTTAGCCGCCATGACTTATAAGGTTAAGATGGGAAGGTTGACTGACGATCATCAAATGGCCTGATTATGGCATTTATTGATTGGAATTACCTGATAATACACACTAGACGTAAAACTTACAGTTGCTGTTTGAATATTTTATGTTTATTTTAATTGTTTAACAACGTTTTCACAAGTAAAACATGGACCCAACTTTAGGGACACATTTCTTTTCTATGTTCCTATCTATGGCCCATGAAATTCATTTGACAGCATATAGCAATAAGAGTAACGTCAACAATGTTGTTTTGCATTTGGATGATAAGGAACGAACAGGAAGGGAGATTTTTTCTGCCAAACCTGTATAATGAACATCACAATGTTCTGATTTAGATATTCTGCGGTCAAAAGACGATAAGCGAAATTTTTAATTTTTAATTTTTAAATTGAGTGATTTAATGTAGTTTTCGTAAAATTTTCTCTAAGAAATGTTTTGAGGAATGAAGAGCATTAAGTTAACAGTGATAGTGATAAAAAAAAATACATCAGAAAACGTTACCAAGAGCGTTTTTTTGAGGATCAAACAAGATAGGACGAAGTTGCATCCATAAATAGACCCAATTTGGGGACAATAGACCCATATTACATACATTTCCCTCGTGAGTTATTGTCTTAAAAAAAGTAAGTTTTTCAACTTTTCGTGGTTTCTGATAGCAAACGACATGATAAGCATATCTAAGCATACCATTTAGCAGTAGAATATCGTTTGCAGGTAAATTCATTGATGAGTTATGATTAAAAACGTAATCGATGGCTGCATATTAGACCGAGGTTAGGGACGTATACCCTAACCCTGAAAAGACGCATTTGTGTCACCTTATAATTCATACAGGAAAAATCACACAAATACAAGAAATAAGAATCATTTAAAGTCAAACTATGATCGTATGGAATTAAATTTTTGGTAGGGCAGATGTACCAGTTTTGACCATACGTTTCTACTATGGTGTGTTCCAATTATTGCTTATGGGAATTGCATAGGTCATAATTAGAACACACCATAATAGGAACATATGGCCATTCCGTTGACTTTTTTTGTAAAAAAAAACACCTTTAAACATAGCGTATGAAGTTTAACATAGACTGTGTTAGCAATGTTTAAAAATTTCTCTCGCTTCGTTTTTGAGATCATTGCACTGATCCGTTGTGCTTTTCAACATCAGCAACAAGCACTGCATATTTTGGACAGCAGAGATTGTCACTGTTGAGCATAATTTACCATCTCTGCCTTGCCACTTCAACTATAGACCTTGAATAATCATTCGCGTCTTTTCTGTGAGGCAATACATTTAGTTACTGATGATTAATATTGAATTGTGTAATTGAATTCACTTAATTGATACCAGGCAAGCTTAGTGTGCGTTTCTCAACAAAATTCAGATAAATAAGATTTTAGTTTTAGCTTCAAATCTAGATGCATTTTGATCGTCATTTCTGTGATTCCATATATTTTTTAGTTTCTTTATTTGTTTAGAGACGAATTCTGCACTAGACCCCAGAATATTCTATACTTTTCACATAGTTTGATAAGCCAAGCATTTTTTTGGAAAATGCAAAACATTCATCGAATCAGAAATTATACACCACCACTATACGTTTTATTACTAGGAATGCTAATATTCTCTTATTTTCATTTATTTATTTATTTGCGAAAATCTATTAAATGCGCTCATATTCCCGAACATCACCAATCCGCCGCTCCGTCAATACCACCCTATGCTAATAGATTCTGCCTACTGTTGTCCCCCAACGTTAAACAGAATCCCTTCCATCTTCCGTTTCGACCGTAGCTCTCGCAGCGCTGGCCGGTTCCCAGCTGCGGACCAACAACAACCGCAACGTGACCCAGGTTCAGTCCCAATCCCATGAAATGACAGTGCCAAATGACCTGATCGGTTGCATCATCGGCAAGGGCGGTACCAAAATCGCCGAAATCCGCCAGATCTCCGGTGCAATGATCCGCATCTCCAACTGCGAGGAACGTGACAGTGGCAACACCGACCGGACCATCACCATCACCGGCAATCCGGACTCGGTGGCCCTGGCGCAGTATCTGATCAACATGAGGTAAGTGGTGCCAGATCATTTTATTAAAACTAATCTTGAAGAAGTCGAACAATATGCACGTATTTGTGTGCTGTGAAATGTGGCGGGGCCAATATCTGATGGACTAGATTGTAATACTCACTATTGGTGTTAGTCTCACTACCATCGTTGGTACTACTTCTACTACCTACCAAACACCTGTCTGCTGTGTAGAGGCAGCCTGCAGACACCTTTAGAACTCTTTCGCTGATTGTACATTGTTTTAGCTGAAGTGACATTCTCTTCGATTTTGTTGTGTTTTTCCCGATGTTGTTTTGGAACGTGTTTATTTTTGTTTGTTGAGCAGAATTTCTGTGACTACCCGCGTCAAATTCGGAACAATTTGCACTCACACTTCCCCTTGAATTCCCGAATTGCCTCCTGCTATAATCCTTCCACTTCTACCGAACGAATAACCCACCTCTCGCGCGTCATTGATCACCAACGTATTATCATCATTTACTCTTTACCTTTGCATAACTCATCGGACTTGCCTCCTCTCTTCTTGCCTCGCATCTCATTTCACCTGTACCTGTTTCGCGTCATTGAAAAAAAATATGCCTGAAAAAAACATCCCCCGTTCCCAGTCATTAAAATCCAGCCACACTGTCGAAAACACAAACTCACACACACACACACTCTCACCCACTCTCATAGTCACTTACCGACCGTTATGAAAGTATTTATGAATCCCTGCGCCCGGAAAAATCTCTTCTCCCGGAATTTCATGGTAAATTTATTTTCCGCAGCCTTTCCACCCGAATAAATCCCTTTTCGCATTGAGGCTTTCCCCCAATACCCCATTTTCTTATGCTGTTCAAACAACTTCACCGCCATTCTGGGTCGCACATAGTGATGAAGAGATGAGGGAACGAAGACCGACCGCACACCAACTGACTGTGTACCTACATACCTACATAATGTGACACGGAGCTCGCGGAAGCTTTTCCCATTTCCGTGCGAAAACTTACGCCATCCATCTCACACGGGTAGGGAGCGATAAGGGATAAGTAATCAAAATATGCGCCGATTTCCTCCGTACTTGAAAAGAATCCCGTTCAAGTTTTTGAATCCTCATCTCTGTTGTGTATTATACAGACAAACGACCACTGCCTTTCGACAGAAACCTAAACCCAAATATCACACTTACCTACCATGCACGGATTTGACATTTTCAGTGAAGTACTCACGCTGAAAATATGCTTTTCGAGTGCTCTCTCGGTTGAAACGGAAGAGATCATACCAACCATAGCAGCAGTGGCGAATCAAATCTGAGACCCGAGGCTTTTTGCACGAAATTTGACTCATTCATATTTTATTGAAAAGCTTTTGTTTTTTCACCAAAAGTGACGTGTTGTTTTTTATCCCTCATGTGTGTGCACGCACCTGTTTGTGACGCTACGAGCTTTGTGGATTCGCGAGAGACTGTGAAAAATACCATTTTTCTTTCCGCCGCCGCTAGCTGCCAGATGGCATTTCGGCCTATACACCTTATGTAGTTATATACACTGGTGGAAATTAATATAAGGACACTTTGAAAATCATGGCTCCTCGAATTAAAAATCATGTGTTTGTAGAACCAACATTATCATGCTACAATATAAGTCTAATGAAGAATCAATTGATGGCACCAAAATAGCCAAGAAGTTAGTTCAAATTGGTGATCATCGATGTTGAGAACTTCTACCGAATGGATTTCGGTAAAACTTTGCAAAAATCATGTTTAATGATTACTTGAACTAACTCTTTGATTATGTTGGTGCCACAATACTTTTTGGCACACTTTAAAAATTACCAATTTCTCATACATTTTTGGATGGCGTCCTTAGCTTTATTTCCGAAGGAGAAAATCACAATTCCATTAATTTTTCCAACGTACATGATGCAATTGATTCTTTCTTAGGCTCATATTTTAGCATGATCATGGGGATTCTAAACGCATAATTTAGAATTCTCGATGAACATTTCAAATGGTCCTATCTGCTTTGATCTATTCTCTTCATCGACTTTCTCTTTTCCTAACCACTGCTATGCAAACAGATTTCGCGCTAATTCTACCACATAGTTTGATAAAGGAGGTTCTTATCTAGCGTCCAAAACGTCAAATACAACAGGGAAAGGTTTTGCAGCTGAGTTATTGACGAAAGAGAAAGTCAATGAAGAGAATCGATCAAAGCAGATAGGACCATTTGAAATGTTTATCGAGAATTCCTCTGTTTCTTAAAATTGGGAGGAGTCATGCTTTTTAAAGTGTCCTTATAATCATTTCCACCAGTGTATAACGAGATACGTGTGGGATCCTCTATTACCTTACCACCTAGGATGGAGAAAATGTGTGAAACCGAAAACGAGCTCGGGTGCAATATAGTGAATTTGCGAACAACGTTGTTTATTAGCTTTTGCCACGGCGCATTAGTTCTGTGCGATGCTACAATGGGTGGTGTGTCAATTTCACTCCGGGAATCAAAATGAGATTTGCTAGCAACAAGCCGAGGCTGGTATTTGTTTGAATTTATAATGCGGGATTCAACATGGCATAAAGTTTCAAAAAATACATTAGTTGAAACATCCATCGAAAAAGAAATCATTGAATTAAAAATCTTGCACTCTCCTTGAATAGTGTCTAGTTAGTTTTCACGTTTATTTTAAGAAACAATCACCATGATTGTTCATGTTTCAGTTTTAATCTATTTAATAACGGTAAATAAGCTGTTTGGTTGTACGACATTTCGCGAATTGGAATGATTGATGAATGTGAAAACTGAAATTAACAAATTCGAGGAGTAGTTTCCTTCTTCTAAACAAGAGGTATAACAGTTCTTTCGATTTTTCTAGTCTCCAACACCAAATGTGTGTATGAAGAAAGTGAGCTATCAAAATTAAATTCGTTTCACGGAACTCCGCGAAATGGAATATTCTGCGAAATGGGGTATTCCGTGAAATGGGGCATTCCGCCAACTGAGACTCCGCGGAATGGGTTTCCGCGAAATGGGTTTCCGCGAAATGGGTTTCCGCGAGATGGGTTACCGCGAAATGGGTTTCCGCGAAACGTCGTACAATCATCTGTGTTGCTATAAAGGGTGATACGGTCAAAATTTGGTCAATATCAACTTGACGTATTTCTTTCAATTTTGCATTTAAAAAACCTGAACACCCCTCATTTTGAAGGTGTGTGTGTGTAGAATGTTGCTCCTATTTTGATTTTGGAATTCACTCTTCAGTTGTCAAAATGCCGTCCAAGCAAGAAGAGCAGCGTATCAAAATTTTGCTCGCGCATCGCGAAAATCCGAGCTACTCGCACGCAAAGTTGGCAAAATCGCTAAAAGTTGCTAAATCAACCGTTACAAATGTAATTAAAGTGTTTGGGGAACGTTTGTCGACAGCCAGGAAGTCTGGATCGGGGAGAAATCGAAAACCGGAAGCCGCTGAGACGACAAAGAGAGTTGCCGGTAGTTTCAAGCGAAACCCTAACCTCTCTCTCCGAGATGCCGCAAATAAGCTGGGTGTATCGTCTACAACCGTGCATCGAGCCAAAAAACGAGCCGGACTATCGACTTACAAGAAGGTAGTGACTCCAAATCGCGATGATAAACAAAATACGACGGCCAAAGCGCGATCCCGGAAGCTGTACACGACGATGCTGACGAAGTTTGACTGCGTGGTAATGGACGACGAAACCTACGTCAAAGCTGACTACAAGCAGCTTCCGGGACAGGAGTTTTATACGGCAAAAGGAAGGGGAAAGGTAGCAGATGTTTTCAAGCACATGAAACTGTCAAAGTTCGCAAAGAAATATCTGGTTTGGCAAGCCATCTGTACCTGTGGCTTGAAAAGCAGCATTTTCATAGCTTCCGGGACTGTCAACCAAGAAATTTACGTGAAAGAGTGTTTGAATAAACGTCTGCTGCCTTTCCTGAAGAAACATGGTTGTTCCGTACTGTTTTGGCCGGATTTGGCATCTTGCCATTACGGTAAAAAGGCCATGGAGTGGTACGCCGCCAACAACGTGCAGGTGGTTCCCAAGGACAAGAACCCTCCCAACACGCCAGAGCTCCGCCCAATTGAGAAATACTGGGCTATTGTCAAGCGGAACCTAAAGAAGACCAAAAAACTGCTAAGGGTGAGCAGCAGTTCAAGGCAAACTGGCTTTCTGCGGCGAAGAAGGTGGACAAGGTGGCTGTACAAAATCTGATGGCAGGGGTCAAGCGTAAGGCCCGGCAATTCGGATTTGGAAAAGCGGAAGCCTAACTGAATATTTTTCCTGAATTTTATACTAATTGAACTTGAAAAAGAAATTTAATTTGATTTTTTAAATAAACGATTTCACCGATTTACACGCGTTTTCCCTTGACCAAATTTTGACCGTATCACCCTTTAATGTAGGCGGACCTTGATTTTAAGACTTTCCTACTATGTCTTTGGTAGAGTCAGCGCTTGTTATCAAAGTGACTTTACCACTGCGATATGGTTCATTAAACTGGAACTCCATGTTTACTGCACTGCCGTAAACCTGGAGTTTCAGTTAAATTATTGTGTTATGTGAGAGCTGATATTTGCGCTCTTGAAATTTCGATGTGAAGTGAGATTGATTAGTAATAACATTTCCACAGCGCTTAATCTTAAAAAGCATTTAAAATCCTCAAGATATCTCTAAACAATTTTTTTTTAGAGTAAATTTATTTAATCTATGTACTAATCAACAAACATCAATATAATACGAAATATATGAAGTTTCAACGAGTTTCTCTTTTTTGTTCTTGTTGTTGTTGTAAATAAAGTAGATAAAACATGAATTATTCTGGTGATATCATATTTCGTATTTATACAACTCAAAATTGAGTAGGATGTCCGTAAAAATTCAAATTGCGCTTAAGTAAAGTCTGGTTAAAAGTAAATTTAGACGCAGGTTCCAATGTACAACCGCTTGCTTAGTTGGAATCAGAAACTTTTAACAGCATTTTGTTATTTGTTCTTTGACGAGT